ATGGACGTTATGATATAACCGGAGAATACTGCCATTCTCTGAGAGGGAAATGAACACAAAACATGCCATACTTCATTTTTAAGAAAAAAAAAAAAAGATGTGTGATGATGTGAAGTGAATGCACAGTTAATGCAACCAATGAAGATCATAATAATCTTCAAAAACAAAAGAAAACGGCTGGTACAGACAGCACACAAGTGGAGGGAAGTTACAGGAACACAGACTTTAACAACATATTGAGCAATAATGGGTTAACGTATTGTGTAACGGGTTATTTGTGTTATCAGTCATTTGATAAGTTTATTTTACTACCATCCTCTACTTTCATGTAGTACAAATCTAGTTTGCAGTGTACTACAGAGGTAGGTAGAAAAACATCAAAACTAAAATTTCATATCCTAATTATCTAAAAAAAAAAAAAAGCAAGGTTAAAACAATCATAGTGGTAGTGTTAGTCACTGCAATAAAAAGCAAGTTAAGAAAAAGAGCCAGCGAGTATGGGACTGACTGGAATATGCACTGAAACGTTTGCTGCTCTCTTCTTTTGTTCGTGTTCAGTTTTCAAGTTTCATAAATTAAATTCTTTCAAATTTAAAAGCACATTATCAGTGCCATCTGCAATCAGTTTCTTCTTCACTCCAAAAACCTCCAGGGAGGACTATCAATGTAATACTTGTGCACCCTCTGGAGGGAAAAGCAGGAATTATGACACTGAAAATATTGATAAAACTTCAGTAAACTACATATTAGACAAAACGATTCAGACTAGGAGAGATAACTGCCCAACAGGATGTGTTTTTCATTGATGGCACAAAGTTTAATTTGTGGAAAACCATAGTGCAGTCTTTGATCTCATTCTTCCTGTTTTGAATGGCGATGAAAGTCCTTTTTACCGCCTGTCTTACTGACGAGTTTTATATCCGTGATGATGATGTCATGGCTCACCGCCTTGCACATATCGTAGACGGTGAGCGCTGTTACAGAAGCAGCGGTCAGAGCCTCCATCTCCACTCCCGTCCTGCCCGTGGTGCGACATGTCGCTGTGATGACGACGGCATTAAGAAGCTCATCCAGGTGAAATGTGACAGAGGTGTGGTCTAAGGGTAAAGGGTGGCAGAGGGGGATGAGGGTGGAGGTCTGCTTCGAAGCCATGATGCCAGCCAACTGCGCCACAGTCAAGGCGTCGCCCTTGGCCAGCTGGTTATCTCGAAGCAGGCGGAAGGCGGTGGGGCCTAAGCTAACGGTGGCGCAGGCTACGGCTGTTCGACATGTGGGAAGTTTCCCCCCGACATCCACCATGGTGGCGCGGCCCTGGGCGTCTGTATGTGTCAGCTGAGCTTTGAGATCTGTTGTCTGGTTGCTCTCAGACTGTTTACAACTGGCAACCTTGTTGGAATTTTGACTGTGGCAGAATCTAACAGGGTGGTTTCTCTGATTTATTTTGGCATCTATCAGCAGTGTGCAAAAAACAGCTGCTCCTGGGGTCCTGGACACGTGGCTCGTCAGAACATTAGGACTCAGGGCTTGTGCGTTCCTGAGACAGACTTCATTAACATAGCTTGTGACATTTGTGCGTGTTCTGAAACATTCAGTCTTAGTGTGACAACTAATGTGATCATTATCAATCTCTGCAGAGGGAAGGGATGCTACTTCATTGTGGTTAGGTTTTTCTGTGTTGATATGCATCTTAACATGGGTACCCCCACTCATTAAGGTTCCAGAGCAGCAAACACTGGCTTCCTGTGTTAAGTTAGTGGAGTCTGAAAGGCACAAACAATCCTCTCTATTCAAGACTTTCCTGCTGCCTAAATGATGAGTTGTTGCTGGAGAGAGGGACGTGTCATTTTTAAGCTGGGAACTAATGGGGAAAGCCCTCTTGCTGTCTTGTAGCTTTGGCAGGAACGTCTGAGATGTGGTACCTGCTGGAAAACAAAAATAAATGAGTCAAGAATACTGACATAA